GAGTCCCCGCCGGTTTGGGCCTGCCCAGGCGGTAGCTGCCCCTGCCCTGCGCACGGCAGGGACCTGCCGGAGCAGCTCCGGGGCCAGAGGTCTGTCAGGGGAAGCTGCCGTGACCCGGCCCGGAGCATGGGCTGTGGTCCTGCCGTGGCTGCTGGTTGGTGTGACTGCGGCCCCGGCACCGTTGCTGGAGGTGCTGCCACCGCACCGAAAGCACGGACGGTGGCTCATTGCCTGTCCCCACAGTCCCCGTACAGCTCCGGGGCCTTGCAGAGCCCCATCTGAGCTCACCCGTGTCTCAGCTGGTTCCATTTGCAAAGACGTTTGAGACACAAGTAACTCATCTGCAGCTGGTGTTGATTCAGGTAGCAGGGGCCTTGAAAGAGCAGTTGGAAGAGTTTGTTCTTGAAAGGTCAAAGAACAACTCGGTGCAGGCTGGATGAGCGCTGGTGGATATTCTCATCTGTACCAAGCTGTGCCTGTCAGACGTTGTCTCTGGGTCCCTCCATCTCTGTGCTCTGCCCCTGGGGTAGTCCAGAGCAGCCCATCTAACTCACCCATGAAATTACTTAAATTAGTTCATCAGTTTAAACCTTCTAAATGAGCAGAGTTTAGCTGGGAGCCCTTGTGCTCCCTGCTTGGTGTCTGTAACCTCTTCCTGCTGCTCTGTCTCATCGTTTGGGTGCAGATCCCCCTGAACAGCTTTGCCTGTTTGCTTCAGCAGCCACGTGAGAACTACACTGAGCTGGGACTAGAGACCTGCCTGGTCACTGGTCACCTTGGAGTGATCTAAATACTCTGGTTTTCTAGTACAGAGCTGTATTTAATGTGTATGTAGCTTTAAAAGTCTAATAAATCTCTGTTTTCTTCCATCAAGCTTGCAGCCCCTTTATTCAGGCAGCCAGATGTTACGCCAGGCCTGTGAGGAGGAAGAGGAAAGGTTTGTCAGCACTGAGGGGACCATGGGGCAAAGTGTTTCACTGTCGTTGCCAGAGCTGTACCTGACGCTGCAGGAGGAGGGTGTTGGGTGAAATGAGTGGGCTGCACTGTGAAGATGCAGAACTCTTCATGAGAGGAGAGAGGAAATACAGTCCCTGGTGCAGGACTCTGCAGTCCTGCAGCTTACTGGTGTAATTAGAAGGGTGAGGGATCCAGACTCCTCTTGGTAGTGCCAAATGATGTAACGAGGGGCAGTGGTCCCAAAGAGCAGCTTGGAGATGCTCCAGCTGGACACAGAAGGGAAGAGGATTCACCAGAAGGGCTGTGGGATGGGAACATGTCACAGTGGGGCTGGGCAGCATCTGTCCTCAGAGTTTCCAAGGTGTTGCTAGACAAACGATGACAGTCCCACTTCAAAGGGGAGATGGGACTAGAAACTTCATAAGATCCCTTTGCAAACCCTTTTCTGATTCTGTGCCTCTGAGCTTGCAAGGAATTTTTTTCTAGAGGTGGCTCAGAGAGCTCAGCAGCTCAGGGATATGGGGGAAATTAGCAGTTGTCTTTAGCAAGAGATGACTGATCTCAGTGGACTGTATGCCATGTGGTTAGTCCAGGGTGCTGGGGCAAGACTTTATCCACTCAGTTCTTCCCATCTCAGCTTGATCTCTGCAGTTCTTCCTTCTCCTTTGGAGCATACCATCTGTCCTCTTTGCAGCTTGTTTCCTCTGACCTCCCTGGCAGGTGTGTTCAGAGGGTGACTTTGTGCTGCTCTTGCTCAAATGGTGATCTTCTCTTTGTAGAATTCCCCAGCCATTTGGATGATCTTCCTCCCACAATGCTGAAGAAAGACTATGCCAATCTCCCAGTGATAAACAGGTATGAGCCCGGGGAGGGGAACAGCTGCTGTGTGCAGAGCTGGGCCTTCACACAGCCACAGCCCGTGGTGCTGTCCCCAGCTGAGCACCAGCTGTGCTCTGTGGCTGCTGCTGTGCAGCTCCAGAGCTTCAGAGGCGTTTTGAAAGGAAGGTTTGCAAAAGCAGTCGCTGCTGAGGGCTGTCTGAGGGGTTGCTGGACTTCGGGTAAGGTTGGGTGCTGGTTGCCCCCAGGGCGTGCAGTTCCACAGCTCCAAAGGAGAGGCTGCTGCTGAAGCTGGGACCCGGCGTTCAGGGTTTCAGTGCTGGGATTCCAGAGCTGCTGGTGCGTGGTGCACGGAGAGCCCCCAGTGGTGCCTCGGAGAGTTTCACCCAGCTTGGGAAGAGCCGGTCTTAAAGTTGGTTATTTCAGCCTTGTGCACTTCCTAGGGGGTTCATCTTCAGCACCCAGTGCACATCTAAATGGTTTTGGAACAGATAAACCTTCATCATCATCTGAAATGGCTGTGCTTCCCAGAGCAGCAAAACTGCTCAGTCCTCCTGTAACCTCAGCTGTGATTTTTCTTAGGAATACAAGTTTGTATCTGACAAGTTTGGGAGGGGAGTTCCTGGCAATTCGTGGAGTAAATTAAAGTTGAGAAAAGTTAATACATTCTGAAAGCCAAACCTCACTTCTCTTGTTACATATATTTTGTTTCTAGCCAATAAACTAACAGTGATCTCCTTGCAGTGTTGATGATGTGGTGAGGAGGCTGTTGTCCCTGGAGATGGCCAGCCAGGTTGGTGTCATTGTTCCTGTGTGAAAACCCCTGGAAGGTCTGGTGAGCACACGTGGGTTAGACCTGTCCGTGTTGTTAAATACTCCTCTTGTTTAAGAGTTGCTCAGGGGCTGCAAATCTGGGGCTATGAAATACATGGGAGTGACAGGTCTTGTATGCTCTTAAAATGTGTCTTCCAGCCTTCTTTGTGATAATGACTGCACACTAAAATGAGAGAAGAAAACACCATTTCTTGCTGGTTACTGCTTAAGCTAAAAAAGATGTGAAATGAGAAGGCTCCCACTGCTTGCTGTCAGTTCCAGCCCTGTCCCTCAGCACCCTCCTCCTGTAGCCCTGGGGTGAGGGGTGTGCCTGGCCCCTGCTTTGAACAGGGGCTGTTTGTGTTCTGCTGAGATCTTTTCATGGCACTTCACTGCTGTACTCTGGTACACATTTTGTGATGGGCATTGAGTAAAGCTGCACATTATAAAGCCTTTATCTGGGCTTTGGGGAAAAAAGCTGGGGTGTCTCAGACGTTTAGTGCTCCTGAGAAAGTGACAAGCTCTTTTCTGTTCTGCACAGAAGGAAAAGATGAAAGTAAAGATACAGCAGCTGGTGGAGAAGGTCAGGAGGTCACCCAGTGACAATGGCTCCTCTGAGGTGCAAGGTAAGTTAAAAAGGTAGGAGGATATTGATGGCAGATCTCTGCTTTTATTCAGCTGTTCCCACTGCAGCACTTCAGGTTTCCTGTAGTGGTTAGGAGAACCTCCTTCAGGAGAGCCCCTGGGAGGCTGGTAGCCTGCAGTGTGCCCTGGGGGACCTCCCCAGGGTTTGGGAATGCTGCAGAGGCAGAGGGTGTGCTGAGCAGCAGGTGTCTGCTGGGTGCCTCCCAATTCCTACTCCACACCCACCCTCCAAAGGCAGCATGTGCTCTGTTGTGCTGGAGGTGCTGCTGGCACACAGCATTCCACTGCACTCCTTACTGAAATGAGGGAATGGGTTTAGCCACAGAGCCCAGATTTCCTTCTGCCTCAGAGAGCTCTGGGTGAGGCCTGGCACAGGGACAGTGTGGGGCTGAAGGCCACTCTGCCCTGGCCACACTGTGCTGCTTCAGCACTACCAAGGGCCTTTGGTTTCCCAGGGTGCCACCAGCACCTTTCCCCAAAGCCTGAAATCCCAACGAGCTGGCTGCTGCCCTTACAAAGAACCTCTGAATTTGTGTCTGCTTCTTCAAAGCTTAAACCAAGTGAAGAGAAAGGAATGTAAAAGCCACCAGTTGTTGAGTTTCCAGAGGCATTTTCCAGATAAATTCACATGATCTGTTGTTAGAATTTTAGCCTCTGATTGAGCAGCTCCATAAGAGCCATAGTTGAGGCCGGGGTTGTGGGCTACATTCTGTGCTTGGTGTTGCACTTCCCGTGGTAAGGAGGGAGCAGCAGCCCTTGGCTGGCAGGGGAGGGAGGGCAGAGGGAGCTGTCACCCTGAGGCTGCTGCTCTCTCATGGCTCCTTACCTCTCTGTTGACAGTTGCTGTACTGACTGCCAAGATACGCACCTTGGAGGAGCATCTCCAGAGGCACCCCAAGGTAACTGCCAGGGGCTGGAGCCCACGTGTTCACACAGCAGCTGGGGGGGGTTCCTCCCTTCAGAACAAAAGGGGTTCACTCTGGGGACTGTGGCTTCCTGGAGGCTTGTACAGTAGTTCTAACTGTTCGTGGTGCCAGTCTGGGAGTCTGCTGGCTCAGCCACAGCTTTGTTCTCACCACCTGGCACGTGGGGTGTTCTTTGTTGCTGGATGGGTGGATTTGGCTGAGCAGATACTTTTGAACAGGGCTTAGCTACATTTATCCTTGCTACAGATGTGGCTTCTCCACATAGTTTTCCCTGTAGTTCATGTTGTCACTCCAGCAGCTGTGTTCTCTCTCCTGGAGATGTTTAGTGGTCAGGGCTGCATTGCTGCTGTAACAAACCACTTTCCTACCTAAAGCTGCCTGGGTTCAGAGCCCAAATTCTAAACAACACAACTGTGAGTTTATGAACAAGATATTTCAAAGATTCTTTATGCTGTGCTAAAGGTGGGAAATGGATTCATCAATGGCATTTGATAAAAATTGTGTAATTATTTGTTAATCTTAAGCGTTTGAAGGATGAACCAGCACAGAATTTAGTTTTATAAAAGCTACAAGTTGTGCCAATTGTTTCAGCAGAAGAGGCCTTTGGAAATGACTTGGGCAAAGGCTGCTTTTCACACAAAGTGCTCCTGTAGGGTAGGGACGTTTCCCCCACAGGGGACTGCCCTGCGTGGCGTGGCTCTAGCTTGGCATCTTCTCTTCCAAAGTACAGCCCACACGGTCAGGTAGAGCCAAGCCCCATTTTATTTTCACATTTAATTTCTGGAAAAACAAAGGTAAATGCTTCTGTGTTGCTTCTGGAAGAATACATTTTGGGAGGAGTGGAGTTTGTATCCAGTAGACCTTCCCTACAGCCTTTGCCTCCAGCCGTTGCAGCTTTTGGCACTGCCTGAAGCTGCACACGCTGAAGTTGGTCCTTGGGGTATGGGGGGGAAGGTGCAGACACAGAATGAAGAAAGCAATTGCAGCGAGAAGTAAATTAAGTCTTTGCAGATCTCCTTGTAGTGACCTAATGTGCTTGTAGTATCCGCCAAGAAAAATTGCCCTGAGGTGCCGTCCTTAACCTGGTTGTTTCCTTTCAGCCGTAATCTGGCCTGTTGTCAGTAATTTATTGGGATGGAAATAAGATCTGTCTGCCTCTGTGAACACCAAGTGCTTTGCAGGATAAAAACAACCGTCGGCGCATGCTGATGGCCACAGACCAGAGGAAGAAGCTCCTTTCCTACCTGCGCCGGGTCCGCTACGACACCTTCGAGAACACCTGCAAACAGCTGGACATCCAGTACACCCTGCCCCCCCCCTACACCAGGAGGGCCACCAAGCGCTGGCTGGTGAAGAAGGCGTTCTGCCGCAAGGTAGGGAGCAGCCCGGGGGCTGGGCAGGGGAAAGCCCTGCACAGGAGGGCACAGCTGAGACAGAGGAGACCACCAGGGAAGGCCTTCGACCCACGCTGTGGATCTGAGGAGCCAGGGGACTGTAGGGACGCCCATGAGCTCGGCAGGGAGCTCCACAGCAGTTAGGGGGTGGGCAGTGGCGTGTGTGCTGTGCTTCAGAACTTCACCCTGTGCTGCTGCTTCACTCAGAACGTGTGATTCAAACCAGCATTGTTCCAAAGCCTGGTATGGGAACTAGTCTGTGAGACAGTTAAATGTGGTGGTGCCTTCAGAACAGAGCTGTGGGCACGTGCACTGTCTGCTCCCAGGTTCTGTGAGGCCTCTGGTGTAACTGCCGTGCACAGCGTGTCTCAGGTGTAACCGAGAGAACCAGCAACCTGGACACACCTTCAGTCTGTAGGTGTGAAACTTCAGTCCAGCAAAATTACAGCCCAAAGGCTGGGTGGCCCTGAGGGAACACCTCGGGGTGGTGCCCTGGAAACGGGCTGGCTGCGGTCCCAGCCCTTGCTGCATGGTGCCCTCCGTCCCACAGCGGCGGTGGGGCAGCTCTGCTCAGAGGCTCCATCCCTCCCCTTCCTCACCTCCCTGTGCTCCTCCTGCAGGTTTTCGAGGAGGCGCAGAAGCTGAAGGCTGCAGAGAGGCTGAGGCAGAGGCAGGCGAGCGAGGCGGCGCGGCGCGAGGGGACGCCGGTGTAGCGCCCGGTGACGGGTGACCTTCAATAAACAGCCACCTACAGACCTGCTGCCTCTGCACTTCCCTGTG